CTCACCGTCTCCCCACACCTGAACAGCGACGCCCGTTACCAGCCCTCTCTCCCAGAGCTCGACCCGCGCCCTGAGGGGAGCCCCCCGGGCTGCCACCCGTCAGCTCCAAGTCCCGCGGCTTCAGCCAGCCGCGCACCCCTGCAGGGGACAGCCGTGAGCTCAGGTAGGCGACGGGCTCTGCCCTCCCCTCCGCCCCGGGCAGGGGCTCATCACGGACGTCTTCCTTCCCCGCCGCAGCGCCCGCCAAAGCTCGACCCGCGCCCTGAGGGGAGCCCCCCGGGCTGCCACCCGTCAGCTCCAAGTCCCGCGGCTTCAGCCAGCCCTGCACCCCTGCAGGGGACAGCCGTGAGCTCAGGTAGGCGACGGGCTCTGCCCTCCCCTCCGCCCCGGGCAGGGGCTCATCACGGACGTCTTCCTTCCCCGCCGCAGCGCCCGCCAAAACCAGAGCCTCCCCTCAGGAGAGGTTTCCCTCCTTCCCCGCGCTGAGGCGGCGGCCGCCCCCCTCCCCAGCAGCGAGCAGGCCCCCTTGCCCACTGCCATATTCACCTCTTGACATCTTTTAAATCTTCACCCATTATGCAGAAATTAAAACCCTCTAGCAGCTCACCGTTACCTAGCTAGGGTCGGTATAAAGCAAAATAGACTGAGGAGATCACACAGGGCCCTACCATTTGCATTTTTGTCCATCTACTTTCTCCAAACTGCTGTGTCTGCAGTTCCCTGGAGCCCTACAAAAAAAGAGATGGGCTTCATTTATTTTGTATTCCCTCTTGTCTTCCCCTTTGCCAGAGCCCCCAAAGGGCTAAAAATCTACATAAACCAATTGCACTATTGGGTTTCTAATGCCACTACTTGAATTCAGGGTATCAGTTTCCTGGGCAAAAGCAGTACAAACTGAAAGCCAGCCCAAGGCACGCAAATGTCTTGCATTTCTAAAACCGGCCTTCTTTTCATCGCTAAATCTACGCAGCTTTAGGATTCCAGATAGTCTGAAGTCTTATCATTAGCAAATAAGCGTGTTTGCATTTTCATTTTCTCTCAGTCCCTTGCTTATGCTTCTGTGCGATGTAAAACCCAATACTGGTCATGCCATAAGCATGCCAGCTATATGTCCAATGTGTAATTTAATTTGCATTCTTCTACAGTCATTTTTGAAGTGCCTTTTGTTCATTAACTTGTTGCTCAGGCTCAGAACCTCATTAAACCTACAAACCTGCCGCAGTGTCAAGCACGCAACAATGTCACAATGGCACCAGGCAGCAGGGTTTAGCCCAATTTGCACTCTTATATCCAGCTTTTTATCTGCATCTCTTTTATATTCAGTGGTGCAGCTGCACAGGCTCAGAGCCATGTTCTAGACACAGTACGATACAGACACAGCAACAGCAGTAGACAACATTGCCTAACCCCATTTTATACCTTTGTACTCAATTTGTATTCCAAATCTTTGAAAGTTACCTTTAGATTGCTTATGTCAGACTAATTTTTGCAACCTCTTATGGGGTTGCAAAGGATTATGGTAACTCTTTAAATACATGAATAGGTAGGCTATTTCACTGTCTCCCCTTGTGATCTTGGAAAAAACACCTGTGAATTCAGCCATCTATACATTGAGAATCTAGCAAAGGTATCTTGTGTATCTGCTTCACTAATATTCACACAGCCTGTAGCATTACAAGAGCATTAACACCTCTAAAATACTGTGGGGTTTGTGTATCTGTAGATCCAAGGTGCTAAGAATCATTTGCTTTTGAATACTGTGAACCACAATACCTTGTCTTAGTCCCATCTCTTATTTGTTAGTTGTTGATGTGGAAGTGCTTACTGAATAGGGATAAAGAATTTTAATTTTATAGGTGGAGAAATAAATACACAGAGAAGCGTGTTAACTTTCAGAGTCAGGACTATAAATCAGTCTTTCCCAACACACAGCTTAACTTAGTACAGAGAAATCAACCATAACCCCTTAACCTACTCGCCTACCCATGTCCACTCCCAAGAACAAAACATATCTCCATTAAGAACTTGAAATTCCTATTTTGAGTCTGCTGGTATAGTTAAATGAGCATATTTATAAGGAATTTTAGGTAGGAGGCCCTACACTGCCTCCATACTCAAGACAGATGGAGAGAAAGGCTCCTTTCAAAAGGCACTCAGGAGAAGATGAATAGCCCAGTTGTTCCAGGCTGTTGTCTGCACGGGTTCCTTTCTCCAAGGGTAAGGGAAAGAACTTTTAAGAACCTACAGCTGGATGGCATTATTAAGTGAGCATATGCTCTTGCTTAAATTGCTGAGCTGCTTTTGCCCAGTCCTTCCCAGTATTAGGTGCTGAATTTAAGTTTTCAGCTCTAGAATCAGTTACATGTACTGACATGTACATAAGACAGCAAGGTGTTGCTGTGTAATGTTAGACTAGAGCTCAGCTGTAGGCTAAATAAAGTCAGCCTTAGGAAGCAAGGGCTTACATGACTTGCTGGTGTAATTCAATATATTACCAATTACCATTTTATTTAGTATGATTAAAACCAAAAGTATATCAATATACCGATATGCTGAATTATATGAATAATGAATCATATGATTAGTAAGTTTTTAACATCTTACTTGCTATTCTGAAAATGTACTGAAGTCTGTCTTCTCTGAAGGTTTCTGTCCCCAACCATCCATTTTATACTAGACTTCAAGAAATCCAGCATTATGCTTATCTGTCCCATTTTCTCCATCCCTGATTTCATTTAGATGTATATTCAGTCCCACAAGTAGCTTATAACAAGTCAGTTTTAAATGAACACCTAATCAGAAGTACAATTCAGTAGATGCTTAAACCCGTAGTACCATCAACTAGTGTTGCCTTCATAAAACTTTATTAATTTTTTTAGAGGGATAGTCAAAACAAATCTAAAGCTAAGATATACTTGGAAATGCTAAATTCAGCTCTTTAGAATGAGCAGTATAGATGAAGTTAATTTATGCTGAAGGTGTTCACTCTCTGAAAAAGTACTTGGGAGAAAACAGACGCTGATGTAGGTAAGAATGTTCATATTTTCAATTGGAGATGAGTTTTCTTGTTCAGAAAATTAAAAACAGCTACTGCCAGCACCAAGAAGTACCCGTCTATATGATTCTTCAGTTGCCCATTGTAGTGGGTTTTTTAAACTTTACTTTTACACACATTTGGTACTGACCTCTGGTAACAGTGTGTATGACTAGAACATGTCAACTTCCCAAGAGTCTTAAGGCTTGTAACTGTGTGCAGCTGCTTCAAAATCACACAGCCAAACTCCAGTAAGTTAGGCACCCAGCACTTCAGCTAATCTTGTGTTCTAGCTCTAGCCAGAAAGGAAGAAAGCGCTGTTGTTCGTTCTCAGGCAAGTTTAGCCCGACAAAGGTTAAGGACCCTTTTAGTCAAACAATGATTTCCAACATTCTGCTCCAAATCAAACTGGATGTCTCCTCTGTGTCCAGTGACATATGCTTAAGTCAGCACTATCAGAGAAAAATCACTATCCAAAAAGAGAAGTTATTTCCAGCGAGGTTAGTTCTTTGCTCCAATCTAACAGGCAAGATACCATTCTTGCTCTGAGCTGTGCTGGCAGTTACCAGTTGCACAGTCAGCTTAAAGACGTTAAACTCACTCCAAAGTCCACAGCATTAAATTTTACCTGAATGTTATTTTTATGCTCCTCTCACCTTCCTCTGAAGCTTCAAATGTATATAGGAAAGATTTCAAGAGATGAGTATTTAAGAAGCAGAAACCATCTTGGATTAAATCTTTCAACATCAGAAAGCTTCAGAAATTTCTAAAGCAGAAGTCTTGAAGTTCAGCTAGTTATGCTGAAATCCAGTAACTCCACTCCGCAAGTCTGTGTAGGAGAGGATGCTCTAGAGGAGCAGTCTCTCTGCTTGAGAAAACAGTTGTCTTCAGCTGATGACAACCTCTGAGATAAAGACTGTAACAAGACATCCTATTAAATACCTACGCTTTGCTTCTTCATTTGAGGAAGGAGTCTAGTTCCTGCTGTATACCTCTTCCTTCTCCCTAGCTGTATGCAGCTTCTGGATGCAGGTGATCTTCTCAGATATGAGATGCATCAAGCCAGCTTTAAATTACTGTCATTCAAGATTTTAGCTACTAATTGCCACACAACACCCTCCCTCAATTTTTTTTTAAAAGCAGCATAAGAGGACCTGGTTGGACTGGAAAGGAAAGCACGAAAGGGTACACTAACAAGTTGCGATACCGTGACACACAGGAGAGAGAAAGCAGTGTGAGTTAGGTAACAACCCTGTACCTACACTTAAGCTCCCTTCCCTGTTTAAGATAAGTCTGTAAATGCCAACGGCATCCTTGGACAAAGTAAAAACAACTTAAAAATAGAAAAATCCAAATAGATGGAACTCATTTGAGTTTGCTTTAGTTCATAACCTGCGTGGAGATGAGAGGACTCTGAAGAATCTAATTAGAGACTTCAACTATTAAGTAAAAAAGAAGCAAGTCGAATAAAAAAGTCAATTCATTTGATGAAACATCTGTTAAAGCCTTACTGCAAATATTCTACTAATTCTTTGCCAAGAATCATGTGGCATTTTAGGATGTTCTTATGTTTGCATATCAAAATTATACATGAAAATATAAGCAAGCATCCAGCTTCTCATCCAGTCAAAAAGAGAGCTTTTAATACATGAGTGTCAAACTTACAACTCCCATGTAGCTACAGAGTAACCGTGCTCCTCCTAGGTAGAAAACAACTTTTCACATCCCCAATATGGAGTGCTAATACATCCTCATTGTAAAAGGAATCAATAAAAAATAAATTTGTTAATAATTAATTTCAAATTCAAATCAGTTCCAGCACTTCAATAGAATATGTCTGAGAGTCTTTCTGGTGATTAAGTCTTTGTAATTCTCGCAAACTTCCTTCAATCTTGTTGAGTTCGGAGTAGAATCGGACCTAAAACCAGGAAAACACAGATATAAAGTTTAACTAACACAGTGAAGTTTAACTCATTTCATACATCATTATACTGTGGAACTAGCTGTGGTTCTGCACAGTTTTAGATATTAGATATTAGATAACAAATATAGCGGCTTTTGAAATCAAAATGAGAGAGGCAACAGCCATTTCATGCTGAGGAAGGAGCATACAGAGGAGAACAGACATTATTTGATTTACTATATAATATTTTGTTGCCCGCTCCTCTCCCCCGCTTCTTAAGACCCATATTCTAAATCCATAGTAAGATGAAATAATTATCCCAGAAGACGCAACTTACTTGGGCCCTCACAAACTTATGAAGGTTTGAAAGCAACTGTTTTGCTTCTGGTAGCATCACCATAACTGTGAAGTGAGCATCAAGTAACAGGCACATCCAATCCATAATCTGAAGACAAACATGAAAAGTACACTTTATGCTATGCAAATAACAGATTTTGCTTTAAAAGCTGAACTCTGAAACATTAACTTCTAATGCAAAATGCATGGTTTCATATTTTCAGGCAGTATTATTTATTTTCCACCAGTAAAAAGTGTTGCGTTACATCTGACTTCATACAGGTTATATTAATAGACAATACTTTATAAGATGAACGTAGATCTCAGTTGATTTTAGATATTCACAACTACTCACGAAGTTACACACCACAGAAATCAAATGAAGTGCAACTCTTAGAACTAGCTTCTCACCTGATTTATAGTTGGAGAGCGTATTCCGGGAAGAGTGGTATTAATTTTTTCACTGCATTTCACATACAGGTAGTATAAATACCTGAGAAACAGCTAAAAGTAGAAAAGCCAGATTTAAAGGACAATCATTGAATAGACCAAGAAGTTTTGTCTTGCACACAGTAATAGTCATAAGGATTTTTTTTTAAATTTATTTTTTAAAGCAACATAGATACCTGTGTACAATACATTGTAAATAAGTTTTATGGTTCTCCTACACCATGAATAGCTAGACATTTGAAAATTCTCACTCAGCAATATTCACTGTAAAGTTACATTCAGGGTAATCATTGTTCCAGTGATTGTGTCAATGCAATTTAAGACTTTCCTAGGAACTTTGCTAAAAACCGTATCAACATTAAAAATTTCAGTCCCAGTTTCACTTTCAGCAGCCAACAATAAATTACTACTGGTCAGAATCAGGTCAACATCATCTTGTGCCGAGCACAAAGATTTCTTTCAAAGATTTTTTTCAAAGATTTCTTTCTCTGTCCAAAAAAAGAAATCAAGGAGATGGGTCAGTGCTAAGATCAGCTTTGTTCTGATGTGTGGGGTTTTTTTGAATCACTGTAAAGCCACATATATGCTCAGGTACTATGGTACGTGCAGTTCTTGAAATTATATTTCAGATTTTGAGGAACAGGGGGGATTGTTGGTTTGGGGTTTTCTTTAACTGAGAGGATCCGAGATTGAATACTCAAGGTTGATTTGCATTACATCCAGCATTTTACACAGCATAGTTTGTTTCTCTTATTTTCTAAACTTCTGTTTCTGATGGAACTGACTAAATTAGCATCTCGTTCCTTTCTTAAAACATATCCAAATAAAGAAAAGCTACTACAGTTGCTAACAAAATATGAACATTTTCCAAGTAGACTGTGTTGTAAAGGTTTCTTACATTTTCTAAAATAAGGACTACAAAAATTAATAAAAGTTCCATATGTATGTGGAAAAGCGTGACATTAAATCTTATTAGGCATCTTAATTTCATTTTCATGCATTAGTTTGTGATTCAGACTCCAGTAAGAGTGGCAAGTTTCTGATATATAATTGAAAAACTCTCTTCCCTTTCCCTCCCCCCAAAATAATAAGGGTTTTTAAACTTTTTAACATACTTACAACAGCTTGCTGAGCTGGGAGGTTTTTCAGATGAGGCAAAAGAAATGTTTCACTGTAAGCTGAATGGAGAACAGCATTTCTGTGCAGTACCATTAAGGAAATAAAATTGCAGGAAGAAGTACCAGTTTCTACAAACTGAGGTGAATTCTAATTAAAATACTTCTCCAGGTTCTTTGAGAGAGGTCCTATTACAGCTTTTTGAATCTCCCTTATTTCTGTCACGAAATATATACAGCAACTGAAATATCACAATAGAGTTAGCTTGAACAGTTATTTACTGCAAGTATGTAATTGGCTAATGTGTTTCAACAGGCAAACATCAAAATCCTTGATGCTATTTTCTCTTGAATAGACACGGTTTTATTACACTTTTCCAATAATGTAAGTTTAAATTGGTGCAGATGATTTCTATAAGTTAATTGTTTATATTCTAAACAATTTTGCTACTGAGTCAGAACTTCTCTTATCAGAACTTCTCAGAAATTTTCAACATCACATACAATGCACTGACTTTCCTTCATTAAAACATACAGAGGATACAATAATGCTGCCTTCTGTGGTCCAACAGGGCAGAATTCACCATCAGCCGTCAGATGGGTTTCCTTTGTGATTTTAGTATCCCAGATGTCTTGTTCCAGCTCTGCATTGAAACCATTTTCTACAATTTCAGTCTTAACTTCTTTATTGTTGAATTCAATATCAATGTAACAGATTACAGATTCTAGATTCACATCTATTCTTTGAAGATAGGCTTCACTAATGCTGTAGAATAAAATTCCAGACATTTAATACTTTTATGTATTAGCTTTAAAATCAGCAATGCCATCAACCCAACAATAGTGCACACTGTGAACTCTTCGAAGCTTACTATAGAAGTAAAAACATATACTAAAATACAGAGTGTTCCAGAATGAATAAAGGCCATGAGAGAACAGTCAATATTTTGTAATTATTAACCTTGGACAATACATGTACTGCTCTTTTATTCCAACAATGTAAGTTATGTCTTATCAGACGTTCTGTCACGGGCTGATTTAAAGGTTATGTCCCATTCAAGACTGTTGTTATATTCTGATACTAATGGAGCTGCTTCAACCCATAAGACAGTTACAATTTTCCTAATACTTAGTAATAAAGTAGTTGACAATTTTAAGATACGAAATTAACAAGATCTGATGTTTCTAATAAAAAAAAAAGAATCCTGTTTGCTCTGGAAGCCTAGAGGAACACTTACAACAGTCTTTTCTTTTTGTTACAGTGCCTACTTAAAACTTCATCCTTTTTGGGATATGAAAACCATTTCTGTCATGAACTTACAAGAGTTGATTTTTTTTGTGGGCTTCTTACCCCAGGTAAGTTCCCAATTAAGTCTGTTGCACAGTGAACAGGTAGCTGTAACAACATATATAGAAGGATGCGAGTGCCATTGAAGCCAGCACTGTTACCAAAAGGCATGTTTGTTTAATTACCATTTACATAGTTTTTAGAATTAACATACGCAACAGACATCTTGTAAAACGTTTGTTCAACTGCAAGACTGCAACATACACTCTACTCAGAATTAAGCATTTCATGCACAGTATTAATTGCCTATCTATAAAATTAAAGCCATTCTTGTCAACACACAGCTTTTTATGAAGGGGCTTGGTCTGGTGAAAAAGGAAAAAAAAACCAGAGTGATTCCAACTTACCTTAAAAATACTTTCAAGCAAGTGTAAGTAATTTCTTCAGGAATATCTGGAAACCGTTGTAAGCAGGTTTGTAAGAGATGCACATCTTTTTTCTCCAAAGCAAGTGCCATTAAATCTGGACATAAACTGTAAGAATATGAAAAGAATAAGCTGCATAGTTCACATCCACTGAAAACTACTGCAAAAGTATTAATCTTGTTTTACATAAAAATCCACCTGGGAAGTGTCAGCTTCATCAGAAAATAAGCATAAGCACCTTGAACAGTAAATTCTGATAATTCAACAGTGCTTTATAAAGAACTGGATTTCTACTTTTTGTTATTTTTTAAAGACTATTCCTTACAATTAAAAAAACACAGAATCATCACCTGTAAGACAAGTCTCGGGTTTGGACTATCTGTAGCAGGAAATTTCGAGGGTAGTACTTCGGATTTGTTTTACATCTGTTTATAAGGGCAGTTACTACACATCCAATGGTGGCTTGGAAATCTGGCATCTGTGCTTTTGACACCAATTGTCTCAATTCATCTTCAAATACAGTTGTCGGAGCATCCTGAAAATGACAAACACTGTGCAACTCAGAAGTACAAGGCATAGGTTTGAGAACTGTACTGTTATTAATTAGACCAAATAGAAACAGACTTGGTTTGGAATTCAAGCTACTGAAGTTTACAAAACCCCCTCAGCACTCTGCCTTTTGGTAGTCTCTCTCAAGCATGAAAGAGCCAAATGAGGGTATTTACTCACTCTGAACTCAGCTGAGTGGTGTGTTTCAATAATTGCTCAGGGATTGTTCACCTGTTGCTTCAGTTACATTACCAAGATGTCCAGCTGCAGCTGAACTATAGGTACCTTCACACAGGAAGGGATGCAACTTAAAGTATCATAACACTTGTAGCAAGTTTTAGAAAGGAACTACACAGCTTCTTGCTGTATTTGCAGTGGAATTCCTAGCATTCTGACTTTCTAGAGGCAAAATGCCTTCAACAAAATTAAAGCCATAAACAAGAATCTAAAAAAGCTTAAAAAAGCAGAGTTTGGGTGAAATATCCTCTCACCTTATTTGTTTTAAGAGAAGATTTTCATTAAAAATGAAGAAATTTGTGCAAGTTTTCAGAACTCACATAGCTATTATAAGCCCTGTATTGTACAATTCTAGAACACACTCCTATGACAAGACTTTAACTTCATCATGTCCAAATACTATTCTAGCACAATAATAATAATGATATCCTACAACTCACCTGTTTAAGGCAGCTTCGTCAACTTGATATGTGCAAGAGGACATGGAAAAAGATAGTAACTTAAGAGACAACTAGAATATTCTGAGAGCGTCTAAAACACTACGTTAGGATATTTGGTTTACTTACTTTTAGATTTAGTAAGAGCTGTCCAACAGATAAGGTATCTGCCTGTACTTTTGCAACAGCATTCTTTTTTGATCTTAACTATCATAAAGAAAAACAAAAAAATTATTATTAAGCTCCAAAAAGATGGTATATGCTTAATAATTTCAATCAAGGTAACTAGGAACTCATGTTAACTTGCTGCACAGATAACAGTTAGTAACCAGGTAGTCCAATTCCAGAAACAGTGTTAGGAACAATGAGTGACAAATACAAAGTGAAATTGTCTTCTGCTAGAACACCTAAAAGTATCAGTATGGGGAAGAGACAGGAAAAACAGAACAAAAACCTCACATGCTCCTAATGCTAACTTACAGTCATTTTGGACTCAGATTTTAGAGCTACAGACTGCTGTGACTGAAAGGAAACCACCAGCTCTTCATCTGCAAGGGTATTCCAGTTTACAAACGAAGACACATCTGTGAACATAAAAATGAAACTATATGAAGGTAACACTTAAAACACATTTATTAAAGTATGAATATTACATCAACTTCTTATACTAATAGGTATTTTCTAAGAATTTTCTCAGCAGCAGGTAATTTTGTGACCCTTTTTGCATACTCTTTTTCCATTTATCTTCTGGAAGCAAGAGAAATAAGTTATTACACAATTTATTGTGAGCATTACTTGCAACATTTTACCAGTGCAATGCTAGAGGCACCATGATAATACAATTTTAAACTGAAGTTTACAAACTAAGGTTTGACATTGCCCCATCTAATCACTAAGTCTTTGCAAACAATTTATAGGAGAACTGTATTTGAATGACAACTCAGTTTAAGTGAAGCCACAATAAATTCAGACATTTGCGTGCTTCCATGTTCTCAGCAATAGTAAATTTAACAGTTAGGAACAGAATACAGCGTTAGGTTACTTCAAGCTGTTTAGATTCAACTGATTTTACAGGACTGTGTTAAAATAATTTTTATACAATTTCAGAAGTTCTCCTTTATGAGACCTTTTCACTGTAATTATAAAAATTCTTACCAGGGGTTTGACTGTCCTTGAGCTTTCCCACAGCAGCTGCCAAGGATGACGTTTCACACTTGTACATAATTACTGTTAGCACTTTCCCATGAGTAAAAAAAAATTTTTCCTCATAACACCACAGCTACAAAATATTAAAACATATCATTAATGAGGAGATGAGCAGAGAAGTGTGGTCCTGCACAAGCTGATGTTTAACACCTTACTGCAAAATTTAACTAGAAGTCAGCAATCAGATTATTTCACGTTAATTTTGGTAGGTTTAACACTTGTTAGCAGACTTTCATTAACTGTTGGTTTTGCATACAGAAACATGAAGCATTCCTTTGAGTATTTTCCAGGGACATATTAAAGTACAGAGGCTGCTCTGAGGCATTAAGTCCACTTGATAATTTTATTTTTTAAATTCCCTCTTGTGCAATTTTATGACAAAACCAGTCAGCCATTCTATTTCACTAGTGCGCTATTACTCAGGTGTCAGTTTACTTATCATTAATTGACACCTGAACATTTTGAAACACTACTTAGGGAGATGCAGGGATCATTTAGGCAGTCAATTGCAAACTGTCTGAACAGAACAGATACTGGCTGTGTTTTCTGTTTAATTAGCTATTTCATTCTCACCAGATAATCAAGCCCATCAGAAGTGAGAAGGTACTGAATTATCAAAGAAATTGCCATATGCCACCATTTTCCCACTAAATACTCTGACAAAAATTGCTCATCAATTGGTCAATATTAACTTTGCTTCAGAAGTTGGCATTCACTGCTCTTCCAGACAGAAGCAGGACTCCAAAGCCCACTGGCCCCTTCACTGCTGTCATGCCAAATGCACAAAGCTTATAGACCACTGTCCTGGTTTCGGCCAGGATAGAGTTAATTTTCTTTTATTCCTTTTGTACCAGGAAAAGTGTGGCCAGCAGGAGTAGGGAAGTGATTGTGCTGGGCACTGGTGAGGCTGCACCTCGAATGCTGTGTTCAATTTTGGGGCCCTCAGTTCAAGAAATACATTGAGGTGCTGGAGTGTGCCCAGAGAAGGGCAATGAAGCTGGTGAGGGGTCTGGAGCCCAAGGCTGATGGGGAGCGGCTGAGGGACCTGGGGGCTTTCAGCCTGGAGAAGAGGAGGCTGAGACCTTATTGATAAGGGATACCTTATCACGCTCTACAACTGCCTGACAGGCAGGGGGAGCCAGGAGGGTGTCAGTCTCTTCTAAGTAACAAGCAATAGGATGAGAGGAACTGGCCTCAAGTTGCATCAGGGGAGGTTTGGATTGGATATTAGGAAAAATTTCTGTACTGAAAGTGGTCAAGCATTGAACAGGCTGCCCAGAGTGAAGTCACCAGCCCTGGAGGTGGTCAAAAAACATGTAGACGTAGCACTTCAGGACATGGTTGAGTAGGCAGGGTGGTGTTCGGTTGACAGTTGGACTTTATGATCTTGGAGGGATTTTCCAACCTTAATGAGTCTATGATTCTTCCTCGTAGCTGGCATAGTTCTGTGTTTTGGATTTAGTATGAAGAGAACGTTGATAATGCACTGGTGGCTTAGTTGTTGCTAAGCAGTGCTTACACTGGTCAAGGACTTTCCAGCTTCCCATGCTCTGCCAGGTGCACAAGAAGCTGGGAGGGGGCACAGCCAGGACAGCTGACCCAAAGTGGCCAGAGGGGTATTCCAGACCATACGATGTCATGCTCAGTATATAAGCTGGGGGGAGTTGGCTGGGGAGCAGCGATCGCTGCTCAGGGACAGGCTGGGCATCAGTCAGTGGGTGGTGAGCAATTGCACTGTGCATCACTTGTTTTGTATAGTCTCTTATCATCATCATCATCATTATTTTCCTCTACTGTTCTCTTAAAACTGTCTTTATATCAACCCACAGGTTTTATTTTTTCCCCGATTCTCTCCCCCACCCCACTGGGGAGGGGGGTAGTGAGCAAATGGCTGTGTGGTGTTCAGCTGCCTGCCACAACCACCACGAATTAAGATTGAGCTTACTTGTCCGCTGGTTCCCAGGGGCAGTTCCTTTGAAGTTTGCAATGTCTGAAATTTTGTATTCCATATTGTTAGGCACTCTAGGGGAAATGAGAGATAGCTGTTACAAACCCCAAAAGCAACATAAATGCTACATTTGCCTTTGCTACTTTCAGTCAAAAACACTTGAGGAAATAAAAATAACTGTTTCAAAACAGCTCAGTTAATAATGCATTCAACATTAGCAATTAAGTCATTCTGGTTACATCTCAAGAAAAATATCTGAAGATGAATTACTTTTCCAGTGAAGAGCTTTAAACAAGAAGCTGTGGCAAGAGGGACAGCAGTCAGTGTGGCTTCCAGCCAGGAAGCACATTTTGTCATAAAATGCTATGTTCTGAGACTTAAATTTCAGTGATCCCACACTTCAGAAGTTTAGGCATGAGACTGGAGTGTTTGTTTCACTTATTTTAGACACTGATTTCTTAGAGGACATGAGGTCTGTTTCCCTGCACAGGTCCTTTAACAAGTGTCCAGGTCCTCCTTTTAATTTCCATCCATCCATGAGTTCTCTTGCTGCATCTTCTCAACTGTTTCACAACAGCATGAAAGCAAATACTGAAAACACAACAGCCAGTCGAGTCCTGCAACCCACTACGCAGCTTACTGGTAAAGGTTACCTTTCAGCGAGCATTCTGAACAGCACAGCTCAACTGTGTACTAGTTTCAAGAGTCAACTAACATTTTATTTCCACTATTTCCTGCTTAGTGCTTTGCCTAAGGAAATTGTAGACCTTATGACATCTTAATCTGATTTTTCAAGTTACCTTTGGATTCTTCACCGGACACAGCTAGACTTCCTAATACTGCGACGTGGTCTTTATCCAGAACAACCAAAGAAGTTCCTTTTAGAACACTTCCAGGTACTGAAAGGTTTAGCAGTAGTGACTTGGACAAAACTTGCTCTTCCTCGTCAGTATTTTGGTGCAGAGGTATCAGAACTTTGTACACAGAGTCATTGGAACCTGTCAAAGAAAAGCGATGACGCTTTTATTATCTGTTACTGTGGAAAACCTATTTGATATGACATGGCAAAAGGACAGCCAAAGAGCACAAAATCCAGTGAGTGCTGAAAGAAGAAATAACACAGGATATTTAAAGGACGCGTTATGATGCAAAGCAGTGAAATGAAAGTATACCTAGTGTGAGATCTGCAAGGTACAAGTCATAACGTTTAGGAACAGGCAGCCTTTGCAGTATATCAGGAAGATTTAATTACTACTTCTACCACTAGCTGTTTCAGAAAGCTTAAAGAGCTAAGAAAAATTAAACACTAATGCATAAATAGCAACATTTTATGCCCTTCCATACAATTCTTTGCCTTATTATCACATCCCATTAGAAAATACAACTTACACAAACACAGAAGTGTGATTATTTGATTTTTTATATGTGCCGTGAAACTCAGTGGTTTAGATAATTCCTGTTGTTCAAGCTTGTATTTGTGTAGACCATTCATCTTAAGTTTCTGTACGTAGACAAAAAAATCCCCATCCTAAAGCAAAAGAAGAGAATAAAGTTTTCCTTTAATTGACACAAATAAGAGATAACAGAAATGCAGATATTAGTAGTGCTTAACTTTGAATATTAAGCAAAATTAGGAATTTGTTTTCTCTATAGGACATACAGCCTAATTCAGAAGTTTGCAGGCTTCAGCACATAAAGAAAATTCTAATTTGATGAAACAAATGGATTCACAAGAAGAAACATTTGAATAAAGACAGATAGTTTGTAATTTTTTTTTGCTATTTAGTAAATTGTTCACAATGAGCAAGTATTTGAGGGCAATGAAGAGTCACACAATTGTCAACTGTATTTAATCTTAATTGCTCTCTGAAGTACTAAGAGGCAGGCTCCTCAGCCCCAAAAGCAAGACAACTTCAATTGTTGTATGAGAAACAATACATACATAGGATTTTGATTAAGTCAGGATAATGATTTCACTAAAAAGCTCTTAAAATCCAATGGAACATGTGATGGATTTTAGACATAGCACTTAGATTTGCTGCTATAAAAGTTTTTTTAAAAGTATTCAACTCACTTTCTCAGTAGCGAATATTAAGACAGGTTGTTGACCCTCCATAAAAGCTTCACTCCACCTAAAAGCAGAAAGCTGTATGAACATCTTTTAAATGCTAGGACTACACCTAAAGTCCTATCACTATTCCTCAGGCAGCCTCTTATTTTTAGAATACAAATTTAAATAATTTTAAGATTTTAAAAGCAATGTATTGGAAAAACACACCCAACCCCAAGATCTCGGTCTTTAGTTTTCTCCCCTACCCACTAAAAAAGGGAACAGCTTTCATCATCATCATCAATTCCTCCCACCAGGAAGCAAGTTTCATAACATTTTATCACTTACTTGATGACTTCATCTGAGATAACGTTTTCAATTTCTTGTTGTGGGGCTTCCAAAAGGGCATCTAAAGTTCGAACACCACCTCCTTTGAATAGTACCACTGGCCCTCCATTGGGGAGTGAGTGTATTCTGTACACATCAGCTGAAAGCTATACAGAAATAAAAAAATGTCTATGGTCTTCAGTACATTACCTCGAAAGCCAAGTGTTGTATCTGTGGGGTTTTTTAAGTTCTTTCAATAAACAAGCAACAGAAGACTGATGAAGCTGTAAGATTCCTAATAATGTAGGCCTAGTGGTTGCCAATTTTCTGAAATGCTATGAATATCGCAAATCACTACCCCAACAAAACGCCAGGAAAGCATCCCAGTGAGCATCATATCTCTGAATCACATCAGAAAAAACATGATTGAGGGTAAGGAGTTCAAACACCTGGTGTACAGCGTAACACAAAGCGCCGTTTAACACCACCACCAGCAGAACAGAAGAAAAAAAAATTAAAAATCTGTATTTGAACATAATTCACCATCTTTAAGGGAACTCCTCAAACTCTGGACTTGGGATACGAATCATTTTAGGAGTAATACTTCAATGATCACGTGTCTCTGTCCAAGTGGAATCCTTGCAATTTTCCAAGACACCATGAAGCGCAAGTTAAGACAATGGTCAGCTAAAATGTATTATTAGTAGTACTACTAAAATTAGCATCTCTTCCCTCTACCAGGATTCAAAACGTTAACGTAAAAGTGAACACATACAAGAGACTTACCGTTGCTTTAAATACTTTGTCCAAGTTAACATCTTTGTTCTTCCATATTCTTAAAACCTTTAAGAGAAGCATCGTTTTTAAGCACAGTAAAATGGTAATACAGAGACTTCTCAGCACACAAAACACTAGCAATCACACCTCCGGGAAACATGGGAGGGAAATACACAGAAAGTATTCACAGTAACCTTAGCGGAAACTGACCCAGCGGAAGTCTGCGTGGGAAGAAGCCGAAGCAGAGACAACAGGAATAACAAACCAAGCTCAGAAATCTTGGGATTGGAAAGAAAGGATAGGGAAGAGTAAGGTTAGGAAAAAGATACAGCAGAATTCTAAATTAAAGTAGATCAAAGTGATGGAGACAGATCTTAGGATACAGATGACCTGATCTGGAAGAGACTGTTTCAAGGAGAACAATGGAAGGTCAGGAAAGAGATTTCATCAACAACAATAAAAAAGGTTCGGCATGTGCTGAGCAAACACTGCAAGTACACAAACAGAAAATGTTTAACTCTAAAATATGAGCAGAAAACCGAGGATACAGGTATGAACTACTTTAACCGTTTGAGTACAATAATCACGCAGTTCTAAATGCCAACCAGTCTGCAACAGGAGAAATAACTTATCCTGAAAATGCATGCATGAGGCAGTCTTCACTGAGAACGCTTCGAATTTTAAATGGCCACTGCATAACTGGTGCTCAGCAGATGCAGGTGTGCGGTCGTAGGACTGCACGCCCCTGTCCTCTCAAAGGGTGAGAGGGTGTTGGGAGCTCCACGCATTTACATTTGGCCAAAAAATCTAGCACCACCGAATTCTGCCCTGCCTATATTCACTCAGAAGACTCACTAACATCCTTTTTTTCCTTTAAGAGAAGATAGAGGATCTCACCTTGTCATCGTGCACAGCTATATATTCACCAGTTTCAAAGTTGCATACAACTGGACATGTGATAATTTGCCCATGTTTAACCGACCAACAGCCTAGGGGCTTCTGATCTGAAACCTAGAAAAGCCAGAAGAAGGACAAAGTAATTAAAATAAACATGGTATGCTTTGGGGATTCTTCCCCTGACAGAAAGGAAACGCAAGGCAGCCACATCTGATCCGAATGAGAATAGGAAAATATGAAAACTGCTATACTCAGACCTTCTGCTTGAACATTCCTGTTTCTGACTTTAATACTAAAAAATTTAGATTGACATGAAAGAACTCCGCATTAATTAGAAGTTATTTCTTTTCACATCAGAAATAACTCTGACCTGTAGTAGTCAGCCGGGCTTATGCCATGAAGCAGAGGTACGGTGCACGGCTTTTCCAAAGCGAAGGCATTCCTTCCAATCACTCGCGTAAGCTACTTTTACTCCTAACGTGTCATGCACAGAAACACACTTTTTCTCTTCCTATTTCAGTGTAAGTTATCGAGGCCAAGAGCAATGACTTTACCATCTGAACTTGCATTATGCGTGATTTACATTTGGCTGCTCTGAGGGTACTCAACCCCCTCTCCTCTGTCCAGATCTGCACTGGGCATATTTACCAATTATTTATGGTCTTGCGTATGGTCTCGGGGGGGGGGGGGGAGTAAACAACCCCAAGGAGGTTGTATCACGAATCCACTAAAATACAATCCCTAGCCCCGTAAATATGAGAGCCAATTAAGGACATAAACCCAAATGTTTTCCTAAAGTTTCTTATTATGGTCTACTGAAATATATGCCTACATTAAAACCACCAGAAGATACTTTTAGTTTCAAGTGCTGCAAACCAAATCTTCCCCCCTCCAGCCGCTGGCAGAGACCTGACAGCCGCCCAAGCCGCGCGTCACCCTGGCTGCTGCACGGCAACGGCGCCTACCCTGCGGCTTCGGGGTGGAAGCATTTCTCGGAACGGGGAATGGAGAGCGCAAAGCAGCAAACGCAGAAATACCCAAGCAGG